TGATCAAGTGATGGTGAAGCAATACCTGGTTCTGCAATTTGAATAGTTTGTATTTCTCTATCTTGAGTGTAAGGAGATGTAGAGAATGTAGGATCAGAAAATGGTTCTAAATCCATAAAGGATTCAGATGAAAACATGTTTTGAGAGGATTTAGGCCAGGTAAATGGAAATATATGTTCATAAAAGATAACACCCCTGGTAACCTGAACAATATGTGATTGCAAATCATACAACAAATACCTTTTATTTTTTGTTAAAGAATAACCTATAAAAAAACAAGTTGTAGATCTAGGAGAAAATTTGTCTTTTGAAGAGAGAATAGTAGAATAAGCCAAAGAGCCAAAAACTCTAAGATGACCTAATGTAGGTGCTTTGCCAAAAAAATTTTCATAGGGAGAAATACCTTGCAGGACTACAGGTGGAAACCTATTGGTTAGGTAAATTGCAGCTTGTACATAATATCCCTACAAATTGCGTCATTAGATTGAAACTTTAGGGCTGTTGCTACTTCTAAGATATGTCTATGCTTTCTCTCAACAATACTATTTTGATGAGGAGAATAGGCACAAAAGCTTTGATGAATAATGCCCTAACTAGTTAGTAAATCATGACAGTTTTGATATATATAAAAAAAAAAAAAAAACTCTAAACCGTTGTCTATTCTAATGCATTTGGGAGTGATATGAAACTGATTATGGACCATTAACAAGAATTGTTTAATTGTTTGAAATGCATCCGATTTGAATTGTATGAGAAATAATCAAGTAATCTTGGAAAAGTCATCTACAATGGTAAGAAAAAATCTAGCATTGTCATGAGTTGGTATCTTATGTGGGCCCCAAACATCAATATGCAAATTGTCAAAAATATGACTAGTGGTAGAATTACTCAAGGGAAATGGAACTCTAGTTTATTTGGCTAATGGACAAACTTTACAATGACGTGGATTTAAAATAGGTAGATTTTTTACCATGAGTTTCAACACTGAACTACGTACATGTCCCAACCTTTGGTGCCAAATTTTAGGATTACTAGATGATGAAGAAGCTACAGAAAGAAAATCAGACTTTTTATTCAACTTTGAAACAGAGTTTACAACTAGATTGAAACAATCTTTATTACAAACTGTACTATTTATCATATCAAGATCTGATACATTGGAATTCATTTTCGAAAAAGGTACAAAGTAATAAAAGCCCTGGCTTTTTCTACCAATCCCCTTCAACTTTCTACTCCAGAGATCCTAGATTAAGCAAAAATCAGGATAGAAAGTGATGGAGCAATTGTTGGAACTTTTTGACATTGAAAGTAGGTTATATTAAAAATCCAGCAAATGTAAAACATTTTGTAGATGAATATTATTATCCAATTTGATAGAACTAGCATGCTTAATCAGGATAGAAAGTGATGGAGCAATTGTTGGAACTTTTTGACATTGAAAGTAGGTTATATTAAAAATCCAGCAAATGTAAAACATTTTGTAGATGAATATTATTATCCAATTTGATAGAACTAGCATGCTTAATCAGGATAGAAAGTGATGGAGCAATTGTTGGAACTTTTTGACATTGAAAGTAGGTTATATTAAAAATCCAGCAAATGTAAAACATTTTGTAGATGAATATTATTATCCAATTTGATAGAACTAGTATGCTTAATGGAAGTTTTGGTGCCATTAGGAAGTCCTACAGATGAATTAATGGGTGAATTAATAATAACAGGAGATTCTAAACTAGAAAATTTACTGGTCATATGATCAGTAACACTTGAATCTATAATCCAATCATCAATTTCATCATGGCATCAAAATAAGGAAGTGATGTTACCTGCAAGATTAGTTAGTGGTGTAACATTCTCCTTCCCCAATAATTGCAGAAGCTAAAGATATTGTTCTACTGATAAGACTTTTCCAAGAGATGCATTTGGAGTTGAAGTTTCTGAGGACAAATTGGTGAGCTAAGACTTTATTCTTTACATTGTTCTTCCCTTTAAAATCAGCAAGGTAACCATGTAGTTTGTAACAAGTCTCCCTTTTATGCCCAAGCAGGTGACAATATTACACTCAAAATATGGTCTTTTTCCCTTATATTTTGAACTTTGATTCTGAGTTCTTTGAGAATTTTGTGCATAAAGGGCTATAGTAACCTCTGTATTGGTGCTGATTCTAGATAATACATTTTGACTCTCATCTTGATTCACCACTAGATAGGCTTGTTTTGCAAAAGGTAATGGAGACATCAAGAGAATTTGACTACGCACCATGAAGTACGAATCATTTAGTCCCATTAGAAATTGTAGTAACTTCTATTGATTTAGATGATCAAGATAAGCCCTAACGGATGCACTATTTGGAGGTGGTAAAATAACCAGAGAAGTCAGCTCATCCCAAAGTGATTTTAGTTTGTTGTAATAAATCGCTATTGTAGATGTTCCTTGAGTAAGATTAGCTATCTCTTGATGAATCCCATAGACTCTTGTTCCATTCACCTTATGATAATGTTCTGGTAAATCTTGCCATACTTGATAAACATTGGTAGAGTAAACGATTCCATTGAAAATCTCTTTTGATACCGTATTGAAAATCCAAGCTAATACCAAGGAATTACACCTCTCTCGTTGAGCATTCAAAGTAGAATCAAACAAAGGCTTTTCAGATGTTCTATCAACAAACCTTGACTTGTTCTTAGCTCGTAGAGAAGCAGTCATCGCTCAGCGCCATATACCATAATTTTCTTTACCAATTAGTTGTTTTGTCACTAATACAGAACTTAGCGTATCTGATGGATGAATATATAAAGGTGAATTGGAATCAATTACAGTCACTACTAGTTCTCTGTTTGAACTTCCCATTGTTAAAGATCAACTCACAAACTGACGATTTCAAGCTAAAAGAAAAAGGGAAATTTGAAGATAGATTTCAAATGAACTGATAATGAAGCTCGAAAGCTTTAATTGGTCAAGAAAGAGAAAATTGGAAGCTATTGCTCTGATATCATGTTACAGGACAAAGAACAGAGGAGTAAAGGAAGAGAAAGTTAAAGCTGTATTATTTCATTATCAGTCACACTTTACAGGTAAAGGATCGAAGTCCTTTTAACTAAATAGTACAACTAACTTCAGTAACTAACCATGATTAAAGGCAACTAATTAATTATAGCCAATGTAACTACTTTAGCTTATTGTAACAAACTAAACTAAGTTAACTGTAACATACTGTAACTACAATCTATTCTTGTAACTATTATTCTCCAATATTACATCTCAATTTTAGATGTCAATTTAAGTGGTCAATAGAGTGTTTATATTTACAAAGTTGGAATACAAGTAGAGCTGGGCATTTGGGACTGGGCCCAAAAGCCCATCTCCAAAACCCAGTCCTAGGACCGGTCCTCAAGAGGACCGGACCTAGGAGGCCTGGTCCTAAAACGGGACCAGGCCTACTGAGGAGGGCCCGGGCCCTCCACTGGGCCCAAAAAAATTTGTATTTTTTCAATATAATCCCCTACCAAATTACATAAAACCCTCTGTTAATTTGAAAATAGATATAAATTAAGAGGGCTAAAATAAAATTTTACAAAATTTATAAAAAAAAAAATCTTCGAGGTTTAAAAAATTTATAAAATTTATAAATTTTACCTCTAAAAAAAAATACTAAAAATCCTCCATAAAATTTCATTTTACCCCCAAAATATAAAAAAAATTAAGGGGGAAAAAAGAAGTTATCCAAGCCCCATGGGACTGGTCCTAGGATTGGCCCTGGGCCCATGGGACCAGTCCCTACCAGGCTTAAGGCCTGGTCTGGGTCCTAATTTTTCTCATGGGCCTGGGACCGATCCCAGGCCCATGAGTGACTAGTCCCATTTGGGACCAGTCCCAAACGGGCCCAGGCTTGAGCCTGCTTCGGACCGGTCCCTGCCCACCTCTAAATACAAGTATACAATGCTTGTTATATCTCAACTCATAGGACAACTTATTATACAGTAAAACATCTTTATAGTTATAGTGATGAAATCAAACTAATTTATTACTATAAGGAGGTTATAACTTAATGGATATATAGTTACAAAAATTATTGTTTTGATTTCTTATTTAATAATTCACGTTTTAATAGTATGTATTACGATTTTAGTTCATTTTTTTAGTAGTCATTATTACAATTAGACAAGAAGAGAAATGAAATAATCTTGAGGATAATAGTATGGGAATACAAAAAGTTTTATGTCAATAAGCTCTAAACATGTTTGAGAAGCTAAAAATATTTTGGTTTCAATAAGAAGGTGTCCATGCTAACAAGTTATTACATATTTGTAAGTTAAAAGATATAGTAATAACTCTAAAATATAAATCATTGTTCCAAACAACTTTAAGTAAAAATTTTATTTCATCTTAAACTTTTAATGTAATATATATATATATATGTGAAGATAATTTTTTTAAGATAGAAATTAGAAAATTATAACTTACTATAATGTAGAACTTATTCTTGGTAATAACTATCAACTATAATTTTTGGAACTAAAATTTTCTAAGATTATATAAAAGTTATTCTTCCGTAAAGAATTGTAAAAATGTTTCAATGTAATAAAAAATAATTATATTAAATAAATAATCACATCCATTAAAGTACAAACATTTAATATGATATGACTAGTAAAGATAAGATCTCAGCTGCCACTGTAGTGATGCCCATGAATTATATTTGTTACCAAACATGAGTTCCCTATTCAATACGGTGGACATTCAGTGAACGATCATTTATGTATTTAGCACGAATTTTAGAATTCGAAGGACATCCCAAAATTTTCCCTAGAAAATAAATTTTTTCCTATTAAAGATAAATTTTTTAATAAGACACATGACATGTCATAATAAGCTAATAATGAAGAGTTGGAATTAATAGAGTGACGAAGTGGGTAGTGGCTTGGAAAGTGTAATTCGCCATGAATGGCATTCAATGCTTCACCACCTACCTCACCTAAACTCCATTAATATGTTACATCACTCTTCTTCTTCTTCAAGTACCTTCAGCTAGCAAGTTTCTCTACTTCTTCTTATTGCATTTTCACCAAAAGATTATTCGTTTAGAGTGATTTTATACAATATTTTCAGTTGAATTTGAAGATTACGATGGAGAAGATAGAGAAGGGAAACAATGGCGCCCCTATTGGCCAATCTCCACTGCCGATGCTGCAGGGATCCAGGGATGAAGACGATATGCCGGCGGTGCGGACGGCGGAGCCCTTGGCAAGATTGGTGCCAATGGCTTTATGTGTTGCGGCCCTGGTGGTCATGCTAAAAAATTCTGAGACTAATGACTTCGGCTCTCTTTCCTATTCCGACCTTGGAGCTTTCAGGTTTATATTTAGATTTATTTTGAATTTTACTTGCTTTTTATTTATGCTTATGCATTAATTTAAATTTTGATATTTTTATTTGTTGTTTCAAATTTAAAATTCTGTATATTAGATGAAGAAGGTTGAAATTGAAAATTGAAGCTGTATCAATACATCGTAAACTTTATAAATTTTGTAATTTAAAAACATAAAACTTAGAATATGCATTTTATGCATATATAAATAAAATTTATTAGAAGAGGCTGAACAGAAAACTTATTATTCATTTGGAAAGTTTTATTTTAATCAAGAAAATATATAATTGTATCAAATAATGTTTAGCGATGATGCAGGTATTTAGTGCACGCCAATGGGATTTGTGCTGGTTATTCTCTTCTTTCAGCTATTATCGCAGCCATGCCTCGCCGCTTCACCATGTCTCAAGCCTGGACTTTCTTCTTCCTTGACCAGGTAATTACTGTTATGTCAAGGTGTTGCGGTAGTTTCTACAGTCCTTATTCTGTCATGTTATTTTGTTTGTAAACTTGAGTCAGATCGGTGTTAAGAAAGAATCATAAACTTGAGTCAAATTGATGTCAATACAGTAGTATGCGTCACGTGCACTAGCCGTCAGCTTTTCTAAGAACAAGAGTAATACTAATAATGTTCAAAAAATTTATTTGTTAGGGGAGTTTATGTCAAAATTAAGAGTATCAGATAATCTTAGAATACTTAAGGAAATAGTGGTATTCAGATTATCATAAGATTATCGGAATCTTATATTATTTGATAACCAAATATGATAATATCAATAAAATAAGATGACATAACTCTTGAATTACGTGATATTCTCCCAATCAAACACCCTTAAAATCGAATAAAAAGTGAGTCTTCTAGGAGCCACGAAGCAGAGAAAATAAAAAGAAAGAAAAGAATTCTAAAGAATCAAATACAAATCAAACAAAAAGAAATCAGCAAACAATTACAACGACTTTTGGTACATTTGTTATCCCAATCAAGATTTAGTCTCCTAACCAAATTATGCATATGGGCTCAGGTGCTGACTTACTTGATTTTGGCTGCCGGAGCGGTGGCAGCCGAGGTGCTGTACCTGGAACAAAAGGGAGATTTAGCCATCACCTGGAGTGCCGCTTGCGGCACATTCGCCGGATTCTGCCACAAAGCCACAGCATCAGTAATCATCACATTTGTTGCAGTTGCTTGTTATGCAGTGCTTTCACTCGTCTCCTCTTACAAACTCTTCAGCAAATATGATGCTCCCGTCACCTATCCAACCACCAAAGGGATTGAAATCCCTGCTGTTTTCCATATCTGATCTCATCATCCATTCCCTCAGTTTCAGGCACCCATAAATACTATCTATAAAATAACAGCTCAGATGTGAACTTTCTGCAATGTGTTTAATTTAATCCCACTAGTTCTCCATATATGTGTTTAATTTCTCTGTGTTTTTACATGCTTTCCCCAGCTACTTTCATGTATTTATATATATATTTGGTGTCAAATGTGCGTCCGATTTGCTAGCTATTTGTACTCTATGAACATAATTGGAAACTATCTAATTGTCAAGTTCTTTGTTTATATTGAACTTGACAATATGCGAATAATTATCCTTAATTATTTTCTTCATTGTCAAAATTTAACTTCCAATCTAAATTAATTTAACTTCTCAACTAGAGCGTCATTGTGGGGCTATGTGCCACCCTGGGTCCAACAATTTTTTAAAAATTTTATATAAAAATATATCATTTTTACTCTTAAATATTAACTTTTTAACCTTTTGGCCACCTCGGATATTCGGTTAGTTTATGCGCATTTCAACTAATCCCCTGACATCTTGAAACTATCGAACAAGTAAGAGCTCTAGTGGTTTCCCCTATTAGAAATCGATGAGCATTGTTTTAAAAATCGAATCGGAGGGCAACTCGCTCTGATGGTCGTTGGATCGGTGACGTCATCACACATCATGATGATGTTAGCATATTTTTAAAAATTTTGTTTTTTTTTTTTAGATTTCTATTTTTTAATAAGACAATAACAAATTAATTACTATCCAACATGATTCAAAGTTCAAATTCAACAACAATCCCAACATAATTTAAGTATTTAACAACAATTCAAAGTCCAAATCCAAATATGATGTTGTATTTACATATTAAATGACAAAATACATAATAATTAACAACAAAATATTTGATGCAAGTGTTTTTTCTTTGATACGTCTCCATGTTGATTGAGCTTCACACACTAGCATTAAAATTCATCACCATCATCATCATCTACTCAAATTTCAGTAAAAGTAGAAATCATAAGTTAAAACTTGTAATTTAATTTAAATAGATACTAAGTTACTTAAATAATTAAAACCAGCCTTCTGAACCATCGGTTGAATGCAATCCACAACTTTACTTTGTGAGCCTCCCTACATTACCAAGTCTATCAAACTCAATTTTCCAGTAACAACATATTGAGCACATAGAACCACAAGTAACCAGAACATGCATAAAAGAATGATCAGAAATTAAGAAAACTCCCCATTTCAGAATATGCTTATTTCAGATAACATTAATTTGCCTCACATGCCAAGTTATAAGGACCGAAGTTTCAATAAATTCCATGTTGCTTAGGGACATCAATTGTAACAAGATTCATAAGTTACCTGGATACTTCAAGTTTGAGTACTTTTTCTAGTATAACCCAAAATTTAGACACTTATGAACTCCTAGTCAAGCCTGCAACATATTATTTGAAGGAAACCCTCTTGCCTGACACGGAAGTAAATTCGATGGACAATAACATAGGCTTTGATGAAGATACAATTTTGCATTGGGCATTTACTATAATAACTTGTTATTAACACAAATGTTATGGATACTAGCACTTCATAACAAGTCAAGATGCAATTGTAATTATGTGGATAAGTTTGTATGAATTAATGATTCAAAGGCATCGTCATGAATGTTGAACAACATATATTTTTTAAGAAAGAAATTAAACCTTTTCCAAATCAGATGCTTCAAAAGTCAAGAGTTGAATATTCTTAACAGCCACAAGGAAGTTCCTCATGTTCTCAAAGTACTGAATTGCAGACTGTGCTGCTCCCTCTGTTGACTGAACTGCAATAATTGGATTTTCCACCACCTATTTTCATTTCAAAAACAGAACAGAATCTTTGAAATTACTAAAAAGAACTATGCACATAATTCTAGTACCTCTTATTTCTTATCAGCATTAAGTACCTTAAGAACAGCTCCAGGATTGACTAAGATTGTAAAGGTAATTTGAAAGTACTAAGATTGTAATATATACTTCCCATACATCACTTCCACCCAAATAGCAACAGCACCAAACAAAGTCGGAAACAATTCCATGCCAAAAATAATCTCCATACATCACTTCACCTAAACAGCAACAGCACCAAATAGCAACACCCAAATAAACAGCGTCGATTTTTGGCAAGGGAGGAATGCATCATCGTGATTTCAGAGACTGGAGTTGCGATCGATTTCAGCAACGAATGGTTGTGATTTCAGCATGGGATGGTTACGATTTCAGCAAGATTGAGTTTTGATTTGTGATATTTTTCAGATTTTCGCGATTTCATTCAAAATTTTTCTAAGTTTTTTGCGCGTAGACTGAAAGAGACTAAGAAAGACTGAGAAATTTTCGTAAGAAATTGAGAAAGACTGAAAGAGAAGAAGATGAGAAAGGGTTGCGTCGCGTATTAGGGATTTTTAAAATTTGGACCGGTTTATCTGCAGGTCCAATTGGACTGGCAGTTCACTGAAATTATCCGGTTTTCAAACGGTTTAAAGCGGCTCAATGTATTATAACGGTTTTGGGGTTGACTTGAACCAGACACGTGACCGGTTCCCGGTCCAACCGGTTGGACCGGCCGGTCCGGTTCGATTTTAAAACAGTGCTGATGAGAGATTCGAACTCATGACCTCTTGAGTAAGTAATACACCTAAGAGTCCTTATCGAACTACTTGACCACTTAGAGGTGGTTTTTGGCCACCTATTCACTGAACCTGACACTTTAACCACCATTTGTGCAACTTTCTAAATTAATTTTTTTACACTCTAAAACCCATTGTTTGCCAAAGATGACACTGCGGCCTCCCCAAACAAAAAAATACAAGATGATATATATATATTGGGTAAAGATATTGTCACTTAAATTTTAACTTAAATATTTTGACACTCATTTTTATTGATCCAACGGCGATAAAAAAAAAAGTTAAAAAAGATAGGTGTACTAAATAACAATTTATCATCTCTTATCACCGTTGGAAAAACAAAAATAAATGGTAATCAATAATTTAACTTAAAGTATCCAACCATATATGGACAATGGATATGTTACTTTGTGTTATTAAAAATCTCTATGATCAGTTTATTTACCTTCTATAATATTTAACAGAACTAATTGGACAAAGAGCGGACTTCAAAATTTTTTAACCAAAATACATATTTGGGAGAAAGGTTCACAGTTTTTTAGTTGAAAACCGTTGATGCTTGATTTTGTCGTACGTGCAAAGTGCTAAGCGGTTCTTAGAAGTTACACATGATTAATTTGAGAGTTTGGATAAGGTCATAGTAGCATGCAAATACTAAATAATAAATGAGACAACGAAAATTTTATAGTGGTTTGGATGCTTAAAGCGATTCCTACATCTATTGTTTTCTTTTATATAAGTGTTCTTGGTTATAAGCCAAGTTACAAGAGGTTGTGAACTGCGAGCAGAATTATAAGAGCTTGGTATTTAGAGAGAATATCAAGCCAGTGTCTTTCCTGTAGGTTGTCTTTGCTATTTGTTTTTTTGAAAATCAAAGATCCCGATTTTGTGAGGGGGAGTCCTCTATTTATAGCCGCTGAGTTTAAAGTAATGATTACATGTCTGTGAGTGGGTAGGTGTCTTGCAAGTCCTTCCTTGCATCCCATTGGTTGATAACTTAGAAAATATCCTTAAATTATATGGGGCTTGGATAGGTGTGTGGACCTCATTCATTTACAAACAAAACTTGAGCCTACTGAGTTGATGACAGCCATATTCTCTTTGTCTTAGGGTGATGTGGAAGATTCTAGATGACACAAAGCCTTCCTGAACTCTGATTGGTGCTCGCTGATGTAAGTGTACATCAGCCCTGATTTTTTAGGCATAACAAAAGCTCCCTGGTTCTTGAGATTCAAGGAATTGGATTTCAAGAACTTTATGATTATGCCGCGACCTGACTTGTCTTTAGAAATGCTTGCTCAAGCTAAAAGTTGAGTGCAATCACATCGTTGTAGACAACCTGAAGTTGTTTGTTTGATCTGACGTTTGGAGTGCTATCTTGACTTGACTTGACTTGCGAGCTGAATGCAGGTCGTGAGCTATGTCTTGAAAGTAACACAAGCGACCTGATGTGATCATTTATTGAGATTTACCAACTTGAGTTTGATCTTGTCTTGAGTCACTAAGATGTGTTTTGAACTCTAACTGTCATTCACGACCTGAAAACACTTAGAATATTTCGCTGATGAAAATTTTAAATCATCTTGTTTGGTGTTTGAGTTCGACATGTTGAATAAATGTATTTTTTGAATGACCTCTTTAGATGTTATTTGTTGCACTTGACAGCTGGCTCAGTCAATAAAGTAAACTTTATCTGACAGACATGCCTCTGCGTGCAATAAGTGTCAGCCATGAGCATTAAATGCAACCTATGCTGAAACGACATTCCCTTTTGGTGCATTAAATGTGGATGAAGGTGCATTTAATGTGGAGGAGATAATTACACCGGTGATTGACATTTTCAATAAAGAGAACTATCGATTGATTTTTACAAAGCGTGGGGGCTACTCTTCGCATAGATTGATGACATGTGGTCGGAATCTATGGTTGAGAACACGTTCCCGCCCAAACGTCACTTATAAAAAGAGTTGTAGCGTCGTCTTCTATCCTATAAAACCCTAACTTTGTCTTAAGTTTTCAGAAAACTCAAATTCTTCAGAGAGAAAATAACGTATTTCAACTCCAAAAATCTGTTCTTCCTCCACCAGTTCATGTGAACCCAATGCTATGATGGAGCACCCATTCCAAGCAACCAGGAGGTAAAGAAATTTCTTCCTTTTTCTTTTTTTTCCATTCCTGCAAAAAAACTTCTTTTTTACAGTCATGGTGGTCATGGGTGTCTGGTAGGCTTAGGAAGAGAGCATTTCTGGGTAGTGTTCGAAAGAAACACTTGAAGGCTCAAAACTTAGGGTAAAGAGTCTTAGAGGATCATTTTAAGAGTTTTTAGGGTTTTAGAAGCTTGACGGATATGGCAAAA